CAATTACACCAATTACCCCCCCCCTTTTTTTAGGTGTCGTGCGAATAATTATTCACCTTTTTTGCTGTCCTGACCTGCTTGCCTGTCTGCTGAAATTAGGTGACCATGTCAAAAACGGGGGACGGAGTCTCGTCAAGCGATTAGAGGCGGACGCTAGAACATGTCTCTTAAGTTTGCGGTGCAGTCCGCTTAAGGAGGCATGGCATGACTCCCCCCTAAACTACAAAAAGACCCTGCTGGATCCACGACTGATCAGAGCTGTCACGCAGCCTGCCTCAACTTTGGCATTACTTCATCATTGGTGCCAAAGCCACGGGCCAGTTATAAACACCAGCACTGGTCGTATGGCTTGGCTGATCGCTCTGAAACACCACGGTTATCAGAACGATCCTGATTCCTGCAGTTCCTGCGATCTGCTACACCGCACACCGTTACACGTTACACCCACCCCTACTTTGCGAAACGAACTTCAACAATTTGCCATCCCGCGCAGTGTGGACTTACGAGCGTTCCCTTCAGGCGCAGAGGTTAGGCTCTCCAGCGGGAAGGTTTGTTGTTGTGCCCAGCTGGGCCTGGAGCGGCTGTAGTGGCAGCGGCGGTGGCGGCGGGCATCAGCCGCAGCGCGTCCCCGTCAGCCGTCAGCGGGCCCCACTGCAGGGCACCGCAGGACACAGGCTCCCTCCAGGCACTTGAACACTCCTTCCCGCAGTCACTCTCTCGCGTCACATCTCGCTGTCGAGCTTTCGGCTCCAGCCCAGCTCGACGTCCTGCTCGTGACTCTCCTCAGCTGGAGACAGCTGGAGACCACTGGAGAGCAGGAGGCAGGAGGCAGGAGGCCCTTGCACCGCGTATCGCGTGCGTGCTGCGCCGCGCGCTGCGTGCGCCCCGGCTCGGCTCCGCGCCGCTCCGTTCGCACAGGGCTCGGCTTGGCGGGAGAACCACGTGACCTGTGGAGGGCCTCTGCGCGTGCGCGATCACCCCCCTCCCCCCGCCCTCAAACTACCTGGCTATTCCCCTCCGCCCCTCACCTGAGGTCTCCCAACCCAACCCATGACCTGCGCGGCGCGGTCTCTTCAACCCAGCCGTCCTTCGGACCCTCGGACCTTCGACCAGAGTCCTTCCGGGCTGCCAGCAATAAAGCTGGTTACCTCTAATGCTGGTGCCATTTTCTTAAATCGTAAATAAATGACCGCATCTTGGGAAACCAACCGATAATCTTGCAGCCTTCAATGTCTACTTTTCCGACGTCCTTCGCAGGCGCCGCCGCGAGGGTAGGCAGCCCCTCTTGCACAGATCACCCTGGCTCCCGCTAGTTGACAGAATATGGACAGAATCACTGCAGAATTCACTGCAGTGAAACTTTTGACTTTCGTCCGGGTCAAATCTTATTCTAATCTAATTAAGTGTCCGCAGGTTGAGAGTTAGAACTGACTTGTAGTAAGGGCAAGCAATAGAACGGGGGCGAGTCGGCCACCACGGGGACCGGGCATAGGGGAAACTTCAGGATTCCCCACTCGCAATCCGCAACAGGTGCGCGTGGAATCAACTCTCAGGCAGTATTCGCTCTCTTCCTTCTGTACAGGGTGGGTGATGTGATCGGCGCTGCCTTTTTATTTTTCCTGCTTATACTGTACCGGATTCATGCGTGCAGACGGGTTGCATACTTGCACGGGGCCGCGAGACCTCGGCGGTAGAGCTGGCGCAGACCCATATTCTCTCAAAGAGACATCAGAAAAGGGGGAAGGGTTGACAAAAAAATAAATAAAAATAAGTGAAATCCGTTTTGTGGTTTGTTGTTGTTTTAACAAAAGGGAAGGAAAACTGTAATTCACAACAAAAAAAAGGGTTAACAAACAGAAATGATTCAAAATGGCACATAAGTATAAGAAACATTGGTGAAAATCACAAGCCTCTGACACATCAAAATTGTTCACAAAACTTCAGGAAACGAAGGGACAGAGATACTACATAAAATTAAAGTCGAATCGAATTTTAGTCATTCTGACTGTCTTAAATTAGTTGATTTTGACATAATTTTGTTTTTTAAATTGTTGCCTTGACCTAATTTTAGACATGCAAGATTAAACATTTTTGACTTTTGATGACAATTTGACAGATCTCTTTTCCATGAAGTGTCCTTTCTCAAAACAAAACAAAAAAAAAAACTACTGAGTAGATAAGACATTATCATAAATTGAGTCTCATTTATTCTTCTTTTTCTTGTTACTTTCCTGCAACATAAAATAGAAAAGTAAAATTGTAAACCAATATTAAATGTATATGGCAATTTAGCAAGCCAAACGGATTGGGTATACAATCATTGGATTTGAGTGAAAATTCCAGAATTTCAGTGTTCGTGGGTCATACATATTATTACATATGCATGCATTTTGATCCAGCCTTCAAATAAAGGAAACATTATTCTGTATGTATGTGCTTACTTAGTAAATTTGGTATTCAAACATAATTTACCAATAAATTTTATCTGACTTTTAATCGAGGCAAAGATTTGAGTTGGGGGAAATGGGAAGGCGATCCCAACCTGTGGTACAGTACACCCTATTGAACAAGCTGGCACAAGCTGGATAGCACCACATGCATTTCAATCTGAGCGCAGAAGAACTTCAAGCATTGTCCATGGACTTTTCTCTTGTGTGTTTTTTCAACGATTCTTTATACCCATAGAGCTATGGTTATCAAGTCAAACAAAACAAACAGGAGCAGGAAAGTTCACTTCAAAAAATATTTAATGCTTGTAAACAAAAAGACTTGGATGTTTCACACACAAGAAAAAAAATGAACACAAAACTTTACCTCGTTTTAAAGAGAGATAAAATGGCTGGCTTCATTCTCAACTCGGCTCATGCGTCTGAGTTGCCTGACTGTGCCGCTTGAAGCAACCAAACAGCTTCGAAATCCGAAACAGAGACGCGGTACGACCTTTGATCCCCAGTGGCTGCCCAACCCTTTTCTACAACCAAATCGAAAAAGCAACACCTGAATGTTTCAGAGAAAAATGCATTTGAGTTCCACCTTTTATTCAGCATTTCACTGAATGTTACCATGACTATTGTTACATTGGTATTGTTTCCACTGTGTATCAAAGACAGTGCTCCTTACGAAGGTGGAAACAAGTTAAAGGAAAAGTGTAACAGTCATTTTAGTTAGGAAATGAGAATTTTTTGGAAAAATAATATATGGTGATGAATATGGAAAGCTAAAGCAATTAATTTCCTTCTCATAAGATATAAAGAACTGCTACAGATTAAATACTATGGTACGATATACGAAATAATTATAGGCAAGTTTATTATAGGCGATCCTTATATCACAAAAATATGTTACATGCAAGCCAAGCTCTGCATCATTTCAATAAGCAATGAGTTAGTAAAAGTAAAAAATGAAGTCAAACAAGCCTTCACAGGGGTGACTAAAAACCACAAGTTAACAATCCATGGGGTTTTATTGAAACTGCAACATTCACTACAAAATAAGATATTGAAAGGAAAAATTGTATAATTTGACCAGGCAATTATAGATAAATTTTTAGGGTAGGTGAAATCAACAGCTGTAGAGTATTAGAACTAAAAATCCTCCATTAATATCACCACCTTTGTTTTAAAAAATACTAAATTATTTTTAAGCTACACAGCTCTATCCTCACCTCTACCGGAAATAAATGACAATACCTAATTTGACAAATAACCTTCCACAAGTACTTGTTTCACATGATGCAAGGTTTGTCCCAGTTGCAGTATAGAACTGGTAAAATACCTTATGGGAATTTTAAAATATTGCAAACAAGACCTGATTGAACATTCTCATTAAAATTATAAAAGGATAATTAAACAGTCTTGTAAATCAGTACATGTACAAACTTGTTCAATACATTTGACGGTTGCACAAACTTCTTTCTTTTCATTTAGCTACGAGTTAATATTTAAGAAAACTACATTGGATCACTTGCAGTTGAAGTGTTGGATCTGTTGAACCTCAACAACACCTATCCTTCAACAGGTATGGCATGAAATTTTAGAGAACTTAACAAAGGCCATGAATAAAATCAACACAAAACATCTCACAGGACAAAGCTTTGACTAAGAGAAAATGTTAACTATGTATACCATGCCCTATGAGATACTTTGTACTGATAACAACATAATATATTTTCAATGACTACAGTTACTACACTAAAAGGCACATATGGGGGAAAAAATCATCTATTTCTTCCAAGTTTAAATATGAACATATTATTCCTTGGCAGAGAATAATGGTTACACCATAAGATAATAAATAATGGAGAAATGAATTATTTCAAGACAAAAGGGAATGGAAATAGATATCAAACAGACATGCATCACAGTCTACATCTAATGCAACTTATTCCCCTCTAAGTGGCATGTGGGTGGAACATTGGAACTAAAATCTCTTCAGATAAATTTGCATAGGCAAACTGTACAGCAGAAACAGTTATATTTAATAAGAATGTGAGTATACTCATCAACCACAAATCCACTCTCAGGAAAATCTCATCACACACAAAGTTAAAATAAATTATTATTTTTTATATTGTAAAGGAAAAAGAACAGAAAAGCAAAGCAGCGAGGAGACACATGAATGGGACTGTTCCATCCCATAAAAAGGGCACTACTTATCCGCTAAATAAAGCAATAAAATAAAACTCACTGCACTCAACAATCAAATTCAACAATTTGATTAATTTACCTTGCTTTTCTTAGTTGTGAGAGGTGCAACAGGAGGTGCAACAGTAGATTCGACAGTGGGTGCAACAGTAGGAGCAACAGTTGGAGCACTAGGTGCAGTAGTAGGTGTAGCAGAAATTGAAGCGGCAGGTGCATCCGCTAAAGGTGCATCCGCTAAAGGTGTGACAGCCGCTTCACCAGTTGTGGAAGTAGCTAAGTCATTGACCGCATCAATTTTTTTAATTGAAGAATCAGAGGACTCTACAGGTAGAGCAGTTTCATTTTCAGAAACTACTGATTTCTCTAAAGTCTTTTCAGTCAGACACTTCTCTTGAGTTGAGGGCACTGGAGGTGCTGCAGGCGCTGTGGGTGCTGCAGATACTACAGGATCCACAGGCTTTGAACCAACTGCAGCAGCATAACTAAAAGCTGCAGGTGCAGGAGGCTGGTCAGGAATAGGTACAGCTGAAGGTGGTGGTACAGCTGCAGGTGATGGTACAGCTTGAAGTGGTGGTGCAGCTGCAGGTGGTGGTACCACCTCAGTAACTGATGCAGATTGTTGAGCCTTTGGTGCAACAGCGTTTTCAGAGGGAACAGATGTTGTTTTTGGCGCTGTCACCTCTTTCAATTTTGGTTCAGCTTTCTTTTCAGCATCAGTCTTATCAGGTGAGGAAGGAGGAGCAGCAATATTGGTTGAAGGAGTCTCAGAGAGATCTGGTACTTTCTTTAGAGTATCTTCAGGCGATTTTGTTGGTTGGGGAGAAGAATCAACTTCTGTGGGGGCAATATTTACTGGAGGGGCAGATTCAGATTCTTTGGTTTCAGCTGGAGATTCCTCAGTGGTTGTCTGTTTTTCAGGAGCCTGGCGCCCTGATTTCTTATTTTTGCCCTTCTTTTTGTTGCTTTCCGCGTTTTTATTACCGGCTGATTTAGATTCAGCGGTTTTCAAGTCATTAGTCTTGAGTTCATCAACTACTTTTGAATCATTTGTCTTGACCTTTGATTCTACAGTCCCAGAGGCAATCTGCTTCTGGAGTTCAACCTGAAGCTGCTGCTGTTGCTTTTCTAGCTGTTGTTGCTTATGCAACAACTCTCTTTCCAAAATTACTGACTGCAAGCTGTCTAATGTGTCATTAAGTTTCCGACGATCTTCTGCTATGTCAGCAGCCAGCTTTTCCTCTTTAGCAGAATCTGATGGAGCACCTGTTGGCAATATAAAGTCATAAGATAGATAGATGTATGGCCACAATTGTTTTCAAAAAATACAAATTTTATGCAAAAATCATTTTCTAAATTGCTAATTTGTTTCTGGACCCTTAATTATATACTGACAGAAATAATTTTTGCTTGTAAATTGAATATCCTATAAATACAACTGAGTTATTACTTCAAACCTTAAAACTTAAATGGGCATTAATGTCCAATGCATTGGTTTCACAATGCGAAATTCAAAATAATCATAAAAACTCACCAACAGCATTAATTTGAGCCATCAACTTAGCACGTTCCTCAGTGAGAGTTCGACAAAGTTTATGTAATTGGTTCAGCTGTCGATTAGCAAGGGCCAGTTCAGCATCCCTCTGCTGTTTGTCAGTGGCCATCTCAAGAAGAGCTTGGTGACTCTTCTCCCACCGTTGTTTCCAAGTAGATGTCTCTTTCTCTAGTTTAACAATTTTTTTTGACATCTAGGAAATAAAAGAAAATTTTGATGAAATCGATTGATAAAATTAACTGTTTATTCAAATCATCACTATTAACCAACCCTTTCCATTTCTTCTTTGAACCCTCCAAAAACTTCATTACTGCGAGACAAGGCTGTTTGGAATTCATCATACTTGTTGGTATACAGCTCCACCTGTTCACGGAGTCTTAGCTCCGTTTCTTGTTGCTCTCTGGCTCTAACCTGATACTGAGCAAGTTCCTGTTGAAGTATGAGGAAAAAAGACAGCATTAAGTTTTGTCACATCTGCTTGCATTATGTGGGTGATAAGAGTATAAATTACAAGTTAAGTGTTTATGTGTTGTTTCTTATTACCAAAAGTAATTCCTGCTTGTCACGTAGAAGAAGTTCCTTTTCTGCTTTACCCTCCAGTTGTGCCTTGGCAAGTTTCGCATCAGCCAATTGGGCTTCGAGTCCCATTTGCTTTGATATCTTTTCAACTTGCTATGATAAAAGTTTCAAGTTTAAGTTTAGACATTACAATTATAATAGTGAGAGCAACTACTAGAATCACAATTTCCAAAAGCAGAAATACAGATTAAGAGATGACATACCTGAACTCTGAGCTCATACTGTTCACACACAGATTTAAATTTGGTGGTCATTTCAATATTATCATCGCGAAGTTTGGAATTTTTCTCATTGTTTTGTTGCATTAGAGAAGTAATTTCTGCTAAAGTACTTTGGAACTTATTAGAAACTTCTTTCCTTTTCTCTTCTTCCTCACGAATCTTTAAAACACTTTCCTCCTGATAAACAAAAAGATACATAAATAAACAATAATCATAGGATGGGTAATTTGGAATTGAAGGGAAAAAGAAATGACAGAATTACTGTACCACTTAATTTACCTTTATGGCCCTATTTTGCCTTTGAAGTTCACGGCAAAGGCCTTCAAGCCTACTTCGAGCAAGGACAGCTTTGCTATGCTCACTTTGAGCAGAATCCTTTTCTCGTTCCAGCTGAGTTAACCTGCGTTCAATATTTTTTGATTGAGTCTGGAAAAGAGGAAAAAAGTTAGTTAAAAAATGTGGATTGAAGGACAACTTTGACAGACACCACTGAAAAGTAAGACCACTTACTTGAAATTTACGGTTCTCATCAGCAACTTCTGCATACTTCTTAACAAGAGCATCAAGCTTCTCTTGAGGAGTTTCAAAAGAATTGAGAGAACGCATAACCTGCTCAACACTGCGTTCATCCTTCCTGCGAGAGTACTTTTCTTCACGTGATGATTTTTTGTTAGTGGACTCAGCAGGCTTGTTCTGTAAGTAAGAGCATAATGTTAAAGAGTGTTTGAATGTCAATGACATTGAGAACAACAGTTCATTAAACTGAAAATTCATACATTATTCTGCTTGACTGGTGCTGACTCAGTTTGTTTGTTAGAGTTCATTGGTGTTTTATTTTCTTCTTTTGCTTTGGCGGCATTTTCTTTTTCTACCTCAGCTTTCTTCTGAGGGTCTCCATTGACACTGCCATTTTCAACTGCAATTTTTCCTGGAGTCTCTGTTTTTTGGTTCGGGGAAGTTTTCACCTCTTCCTTAGGACTCAATTTAGGAGTAGCTATTGCCTCGGGACCTTTACTGTCTGTAGCTTCCATGACGAAGTTTCATTCAATACCTGGAATCCAGGGAGATGGATAGTTAAGATTAACACAAAAGGATAATTTTGTTCATCACAAGAAGCAGAACCTGAACACTGGAAGCTTATTAACTATTGCACTTCACATCAAATAATTATTATAGGTTGGGAGTTAAGCCTGGAACACTCAAAATTTGAAAGGAATATCAACTGACTGATAAAACATACTCTTTATCATCCACCACCGATTCGGGCAGCTAAGCAGTCAATGCTTACTCGCCAACCAAGGAGAAGGACAACTATTATTTTTTGGGTGTCAAGCAGCCCCTAGTAACCCGGTGTACAGGCCGGGTGAAGCAGTGGTGCAGTTCATTCACAACCGCAATGAAAGGGGTCGTAGCTTAAACGAGAGCCGTACTTACAGAGAGAGAGATAACAGAATACAGGAGTCAGCCTAAGTATCGATAGAAAACATTACACTTGACGCAATGAAAATTGTTTTGAAAATGTCGGTAAACTTATTTACGCTGAAACTTGCTGAAAGTTCTGTTTATATTTCCTTCACAAGGCGCTGCATCCGCCGCAACAAAAAAGCGACGGATGGGGATATTTGCAGAGGAATATTAAAACTAAAAGTAAAAGAAGGTAAGTATAAAAAATTCTGATCTCAATAATTTGCAATTAAATTTGGAGGACCATATATCTCAGTACTCGGAAGCAATTCCTTACAAGTGACCCCAGATAAAGTCCCGAGGTTGGCGCTTTTACTCGCTATGACCCCTTTTCATGATAGCCACAGTAGCCACTGTAAAAACAGAAAAGATTAACCATGTATTCTTGGGACCTTCCATTTGATCTTCCGAGAATTTCCACTATCAAATTCTACCATTTAACATACTTAAAATAATTCCTTCTGAGTTACCTCCAAGAAAGGAGATTAGAATTCATTTGTTACTTTTCTTATGTTTTTCCGATCCTGGACCAAGCTTAGCGCCAGTACGTTCAAAAATGGTTCAAAGAGAGTACCCAACCCCATGCAGTTTTAGAGCAGAAAATAATCTGAAATTCAGGTATTTGCTACCAAAATAAGTGAGGGTCCCTGTTCCGAAGCAGATGGGTTAGATTCGCAACGCCAGTGGTTGATTATTTCGTTTGCTGACTCGTTCTCAAAAAGCAGCGCACTAGTAAAACGTGAGAACAATTCACTACAAAATCTACGCTGCAAGCTATAAATTTGTGTCGGAACGGCATTGAACCTCGCTTTCGGCGGAGTTCGGGTTACGCGAGGATCCACGTTTTACGGGGGCCAAGGGACGGACGGAACACAACACACCGATACTGCTAGTAGGTACTTACTCTCCACGAGGTACCAAGGACCCTGTTGGCTCAATGAGGACCTCTCGGAAGTGGACGAGACAGGCCCGAGTAGGTCATGAGCCAAGATCAGAGGAGGGCGACGAAGGACTCGACTCGGAGCTCGCAGCCCTGGGGGTGAGCGCCGGAGGGTGAGAGTCCGTCCGCGGGCCTTTTTGCTCTTTTCTTCCTCTCTCTTTTCTCTCCCCGGTTAACCGACCATCCCCTCCACCCCGCGTCCCCGTCCCTCGTGCTTATTTTAGACAACTTGTTTATTCCTGGACGGGCGCGGTGCGTCGCGACGCGTCGTGGCGTAGCGCTGCGCGGGCGGCGCTGCACCTCAGCTACCTAAGCAGACCTCAGCGGATTGTTCGACGTGTGTAGACGGCTTTAGGGGCACTGAGCGCCGGGTCGAGCAGCTCCTGTGTGAGGCATTGAACCTTCCCGCAGAGCTGTTAAAGGCTTACCCGTAGAGGAACACAAGCAGCGGCAATGCAGTGTGCTGCATCCAGCGCCTGCTTAGGGGCCCTACCACCCCTCGGCACAGAGTGTGTGCGTGTGGCGTAGGAGGTAGGCGTAGATGCATTCCACTATTCAAAAAAAAAAATGTATCGTGGAAACCTTCCTGTTGTGTGACAACAATTGGTCTGGGTCTTTCAATTTTACACTTTTAACCGCGTTTCTCGGTGAGGTCCGTGAAAACTATCAAAGCAGATTGCACGTGTTTTCGCTGAGATTTTAAAACTGGATAGGTAGCGAGCTGCTTTGCCATGCGTCTTTAACGCGATGAGCGCTGAAGGTCACGCGAGTGCACACTCGCGTGCACGCACGCACGACGCACGCACGAAGCGCAGTCGCCGTGTGTCCTTTTGCCCACCGAGCGTGCAGGTCGAGTGTGTTGCCTACTCGCTGGGCGTCCTCACGGGCCCTATGCGCGGCAGACCGAAAGTAACGCAAATATATGTAAACCTATAAATTTTTGCTTGGAGAGATGAAAGTTAAAGGCGATTGGTGGATATATGGGCATTTTCAGGATACACAAAAGAGTTGAGAGCTTTCGAAAGGCTACATCGGGATCGGGATCATTAGTCGCACGCACGGGATGGACGCTCCCGCATTCCTAAGGATCTGCACTTTTAAATGTCGTGTTGCCGTAGAGTTTCTATTGTTGCATGTCCCTTAAGCATATTTTGGGTCTGCCGTCCGTAAGTTCGAACGGCTTTTAATTTGAAGCGCCCCAGCCTAGGCTCGTCACTGTCTGGTTGGTGTCACACCATCACCAGATCTTCTGTGGATTAGGAACTTGCGACTGAGAGAAAGGCTAGGCGACTAGTCGCATGATAGGTATCATGTGATTTAGGACTTAAAGCCTCTTCCTCGACAGACTCTGGAGTTGCTTGGATGTGGCAGTGAGAAGTAAACGTGCTAAATACTGGAAAGAGTAATTCTAGGAGGTGCTGGTCATGTCAAGAAAAGAGGGGGGGGGGAGGCAAGCAATTGATGATTTTGTTCCCCCTGCTAAATGGCTGAGAAGAAAGTGTGCGTTAATGTGGTGATTCATATGTAAAACTACGCAAGCACCCCCCCCCCCCTCCTGCGCCTTGACCATGTCTTGACCTTCCTCTAGCCGAGCGGCGCGGGACCTACTTGGATCGAGATGTGGACTGGTTCTGGTTCTTGGCCGCCGCGTTGTCGGCGTGGTGGTGAGCATGGTGAGCGCTGACAGAGGAAAGGGGGTGGGGGGCTGCACTGACCAGTCCACTGCACGGCTCGCTGCAGAAGGCGCCTGGCACACGGCTGACTGGCCGCCTTGAACAGTCTGCCCGGAGTCCCACCCGGTAACACACTGACCAGTTCCGCCCCCCTCGATAAAAAGAAAAAATGCGAAAATTAAAATAATTGAGAACAGGATCGATCAATAAAAGTCACCCCCATGGATGAACCGCAGGTTATACCAGTAACTTGTAGGTCACTTGGGCCTTCGCCGTTCCCTTGTACGGGAGGAAAGGTCTCCGCCGGTGAGAAAAAAATGAATCTCAACCCCGAGTGAAAAGTATCCGACCACAAATTTTGCATGCGGGGGCCACGTCCGGGCCACGGTGGCCTCCGCAGTAACGGGGAAGAGGGGGAGGGACGGGAGCCGACACCCACACGGCACACCAGCCCGCGGCGGCGGCCATCGCATCCGCCCCGCCAGCGTCCGCCCGTCTGCTCGGCTTTGGGCGCGAAACGCGAGGGGACCTTCAAACTATGAACATTCCTGCTGCTATTTTGGAGGTTTTCTTTGCGGCCCAGCCGCGCCTGCCGCGCCTGCGTGTGTGTCAGACGGCGAGGGGCGGGGCGACGCGGCGTCGTGTCTCCAGCGAGCGCTCAGGGCGTGGAAGACAGACTTCCGGGTCAGCTGGCTATGCAGAGCAGCTGAGGTGCGTATGTAGTGGCGCGTCTCCTGACCAGCAAACACTGAGTCGTTAAGAATAGGCCAGATTCGGCTGCACTGACTTGAATCTGACAAGTCACTGTGGCGTATTGAAAACCATTCAATTTTATGTCATTTTGAGACTAAATTGTTGTAATTTTGACATGTTATACGTGATTGGAAATTGATATCAGAAGAATTTGATATCAACATTTCTAAAATCAATTTTTACATCACAGATATTACTTTATCAATCACTATTTTATCAATTTGATCTGAAAATATGGCATCTAATTTAAGGGTTTGAAGTACGTCACAGTGATTTGTTAGATTCATGTATACCTCAACTTGACCAATTTTGAACGACTGTGCTTGTTGGTGGGTCTGGCTGGGAGGAGAGGCGCAAGGTTCTTTTGCACTTCGAGGGAAGGCGAAGGCTCGGGCGTTTAAGTCTCGCGAAGCTAGAATTTACCATGCTTCGTCCAGCTGATTCACGTTTACATGGGTGTGACATCAATTTAACCATGTGACAGTTGTTACATGAACCGATGTGGCATCACATGAATTGAAAAAAGGTTTTACGACTTAAATAGGGCGCGAAACGATAATGAACCATGCGTGAAAGCGCAAAATTTTCCCATTGGTCGGAAACTCTCAAGACTTTTGAACCCGCAGCCCTTTAACTCCTTACAGTCACTGACGTTTTTCCATTTTCAAGGGCACGATATTCCTTCCTTGTATTTCCAGTGTTGACTTTTGTCCGAACAACAGCCGACCACGACACGAGCCCTTACAGACCCGCGGTAAAATTCCACCATAGAGCGCTTTGACATATGTGAATAATCTCGAAAAGTAACCAAACACATATAATGTGACGGTGGAAACCAGCATCGTGCATGGGAGCAGCGGGCGAGGGTCGTACGGGCCGCCGGTCGGGCGCCAAGGGTGCGAACGGAACTGTGCAGCGGCGTCTATGCCTATGGGACGGGTGGTATTACTCCTTTTTCTTTCTTTTCACACATAGTCATCAGTTCCCAAAGGCGGCACTAAAGAGTGTCGTGATTTTACAAAAGCCTTAATTTCATACGGAAAATAATTAAGACCCAGAGAAAGGTGCCGGAGTCCAGGGGCAGACTACGGTTTCAGGGGTTTCAGGGCCCGGCGGGTAATTTGCCTGTATGCAGGGCTAAAATGCTTGAACGGGGTCCGCAGGAGCCCGGATTGATATCCTTCCCGCCCCTTTTTGGCCAGTCCGGCCCTGATGGAGTCCATCCTTTGTTTGACCAGTGCTCGGGATGCGCGCGCCAACCTTCATGAGCCAACTAACCCAAAACACACGCCCTCACCCGGCCGTATGTTAATAAAGTCAGAGGAATCTATCTAATGCTAGGAAACTTCCACACCAGGCCTCATAGCGAGGTCGTGCTCTCGGCATCACACTGCAGACATGAGGTCAATAAAGAGAAGGGAAACGACTGAGCAAAATATGTGTTTGGAAAAAGCTCTCTTTTGTGTCTCGAAAAATAATGAAATGGCGTCGTGCTATTGGGTATCGTCTGTTGTCGCTCTGGCACCATACAGGGTGGTCCATAGACATCTTCCTTTATTTTGCCTACCGTCGCTCACAGCGGCGCCTTATGGCCCCGTGCGAGTATACAACCCACCCGCACGCCCTGCATCCGGTACAGTATCAGCAAAATAACGGAAGGGGTCTGTGGACCACCCTGTATATACACATTATACACCACGTTACGCTGCAGAGCGTGGGGACCGCCCATGGACCTGCTGGAGGTGGGGTCTCGTTCGGCGGGGGTCAGGTGAGGGATCAAACTGACCTCACCTTCGTGCCGAATGGAACGCATCGCAATGCTGTACTGGCCTTGCCGGACGCTCCACTCACTAACATCCTGAAGTTTTAAGAAAAATAAGTATGAAAAAACGTCCGCGCCCGAAAAATATACTGCAAGTTCATGTCTAGCCTAGCCATTAGCTCATTCGCTAAGCAAAAATGCAAGTTTTTTCGACTTTTGATGACACATTTATTGAGTACTGACGACAACGCAGTGTCATTGAAAGGGGAACCGACGCGTTGAAGGATTTTACGGCTCTCTTTTATACGACGACGCTCAGAAATGCCGGGACGTGAGAAACTGGTTCGGGAAACAAGTCGCCGTGAGCCTCGGACTTGGGGAAGGTAGATGTGTGGGCCGCCTTTCGCAGATGAACTCTTGGGTGTGCATGCGGAAGAGGAGGGGGTGGGGCGGAGGATACTGCGTAGATTGGCGGGACGAGGCGGGGCGGGGCGGGAAGCCGGCTCATTCAGTGCTCAGTCCGGCGCGGGCCGCCAGCGGCGCTACAGCTCCTCGCTCCGCTCGTGCCGCTTTACTTTCCGAGGACGGTTTGGTTTGCGATCGTTTACCGCCGGTCTCCATGACGCCGGCGGGACCGCCCGGCCGAAACGCCGTGACATAGAAGTAGGCGAATTAGTGTAGAGTGCAGTGCGTTTTGTAGTGTCGTGTCTCTCAGCCTTCTGAACCCTCATGTTGGATTAACATCGGATGACGACTTCGGTAAGATACTAGCTTTATTTTCATTTAACACGTTGAGGGTGAGTACGGTGTTAACACCCTGGGTCCCGATAATTGCCATATCACGAGTAATAATATTTCAAACTTTAAAATATTGAGCATTATTCGTCAATTTGGGGTACGAACTGTTCATGACATCATTACGACTAATAATGTAAGTTTGTCACAAACGTTAGAGAGTTTGTTACAAAACTTCTTGTGTCCGTTATTTTACGAATGTATTCGTTACTTTAAAGTTACCCGAGTCTGGGAAGAAAATTTAAGGACATTTTTCGTCAAAGTACGATATAAGTTCAGCCTACGCATACGCAAGCTCTAATAGCGCCTGGTGGGTAGGCAACATCTTGCCTGCAGTGCGTCCCTGTAATGCGGGGTGGCCTACCCTGAGTCTCGCAGGCGCCGAGCTCCCGTAATGTGCCGAATTACTCTGAGAAAAACGGACGTAGTTTCTGTACGATCCCTTTCCCAGTGTAGTTCGAGTCAGAAGGACAGAAATTATATCAGGAGGACGTCAAAGGATGATTTCGTGACGTTATTTCTGACTGTGAAATCTTGACCAATGACATCAACGTATGTAATCGAGAGAAACCGCATACAATAAGTACAGTACACCTTCGCGGGTTTACAAAGTAGTCACAACGCACCGCAGATCACGGAAATTTTATTAAAGGCATACTGACATCTATTGTGATCAACGTCGCAAATCTCTTGGGTCACTGTTACACCGTGTGGCACTTTCGCGGCTGTTGATGGGAGTGTGTTGGACTGGAGTGTGCAAAGTCAAGTGTTAGAATTAAACGTTTTACAGTTAAACTTTCCAGTCTAACAGTTTGCAAGTTTGCACCTTTTAAAGGTATGACTTATTGCGTCGCCTTTGTTTTTCCGCTGAGTGCTTGCGTGTTGAACACGCTTCATCTCAGTGTACTACATACGACAAGAGTTTCTCCTCAACCGCCCGCCTGCTCTAAAAAAAATACACACATGGCTCATTTGCGCACATCGCGTCGTGACACCTCCGACGAAGGAAACAGTGAACGAAGCAAACAACTTTGTGGCGCGGCCTTGAACAACCTCTGTCGGGAAGCGTATGCCACTGTGTTACACTGTTAAATAAAGTGAGAAACGCGGCCGAACCCCCATATACCTTACCTAATGCGGTGCATGGTGGCACTACCTAATATTAATGTAGAGCGCTAGTGCATCAAATTACCTGATGTAGAACACTTAGTGCCCCACAATACCTAATGTGGAACACCCAGTGCCTCACACTAGCTCACATAAAACACATAGTGACTCACATTAGCTAATGTAGAACACAGTGCTCGACGCCTTACGCCTTACCTTATGTGAGGAACTAAGTGTTATACATTAGGTAATGTGATAGTGTGCTACACTTCTTGGTAATGTGAGGATTGTGCTCCACATTAGCTAACAAAAATAAAAATAAAAATCCTAAACTTGAACTTGAAAACTGTGTACCACTCAGGCTCTGGCCAATTCTGGAAGATCCCTTCCCCGGCCGGACGAGCTCGGATGCGTGAAAGCTTTTCGAAGGCTGTCAATCTCGGGGTGCAAGGTCACGGTCTGGAGGCCTGCATATAACGTTTATATGGTGGCGAGACGGAGTCACTGCCTCATTATTACTTTTTTATTTTATTTCTTGCGTCCGGAAAAAAAATCTTGCGGTGGCTTGGGGGCGCAAACTCCACAATCGAGCAGCAGAAAGCAAAGGAGTGGGCAGGCAATTTTACGAGGGTTCAGACAATTATTTCTGATTGCTGCATACGAATAACTGGCGTCGCATTAGTACATGCAAGACCATCACCGACCATCACTTAAATTTGCACTCAGCATATACTATCAAGCAGGCTCACCCTTCCGCTAATAAACAGAGTTGCCAGCTCCATCTCACTGCGCCGGCGCCGGCTACTCCGTTCGGCAGATCTGCTGGGTCTATCAGTCACTAGACACTTCTGAACTAAGTTCAATTTTCGGACGAGCTTACGACCCGCTTAGATTTGCTTCTTGGACATGAAAAAACACTGTACTGATGTGACATCATGAACGCACCCCACCCCTCTGCTTTGAAAACCAAGTAAAAAATTAACTTTGCTGCTTGTACCGACTTATATTCGCTGTAAATGTCACAAAAATCAACCTCCAACTCCAACGTTTTAATGACAAGAGATAGATCACAGCGGGCGAGATTTTGGCTCGAAGTATGGGCGGTATGGGGTCGGGTCGAAAAACAGGCGAGAGGTCGGGGTCGGCCTTCGTGGTTTGGGAGTCGTGTTGTCTAGCTGCAGCTGGGCAGGACCGGCAGGGCTCGTGTCGGACCAATAACGAACTCACGTAATGGTCAGCTGGTCGTCCTCTGGCGTCTGCCTCCACTCCAGTGGCTACGGAGGTGCTTTTCCTCGCGGCCAGCAGTAAACAAGCAACGGGCGCGAGGGGAGCTCAACCCGGGCTCGACTCCCTCACTGAGAGTACAAAAAACAAAAACAACAAAAAAACATTTTATGGTGTGTTAAAATAAATTTTCCTTTACAATAATACCAGACCGTGCGTCGTCTGTGCGTATGGACACTCCCGGTGCAGATCTAGGCAGAATCCAGATGTAATTCATAACACAAAAATTGGGGGAATACGTTTGCTCTGTCGACGCAAATGCGTACATTGTATACATTAATTAAAGTACACACGCCATATGTGCGCTTTATTTAAGGTATACAATGTATTCATTTGAATTGACAGAGTGGTGGAATCTCGAATGGTTGATCCCGATAATATCTTGAAACACAAGCTCCTCAATTATCTAAGATTAAACATAACTGAACGCTGTTGGAACTTTTGGATCTAATTAAGGGGCTGCTGCAGTAGCCGTTGCCCGCTGTATTTAATTGCGAGCAGTGCGAGTTTACGTGTGCGGTTCTGCTTAGGCCGTGCCGTGCACTCCAGCGGCGCGCCGTGCCACCGGGAGAGAGAGAGAGGGAGAGCGTTCTATGCAGAGGGATGGAGACAGGTGGGTGTTGGACAGAGATGAAGAGGGATGGCGACAATGCAGGTGCAGGCTGGGCGGGGCGGCTCGACTATTCGTGTTGACGCAACTGGATAGAACAAAAGCTGGCAGTTGCTGGGCGCGCCGGACCCTCGAACGTTTTGCATTCAACCAGAAGCGTTCCATAAGCTCCGAACGGTCCACGCGAACAGCTCGCAAAGCGGCTGAACCGTGTGCACAAGTAGATGCAAGAAGTAGGATTCTTTGTGCGAGAGCCAAGGCGAAAACGATTTAATCTATTGTGCATCAAAATTTTAGAATTATTGTTCCCCCTCAGAAATGATTAGCACTAGTAACGAACCATCATATGGTTGGCTTAGGGAGCACCATGAAATATGGTTGGGACAACAATTACAACGTGATGGAAACCAAATGGTGCTCCCTGAATTAACCATACGATGGTCGCTACAGCGAAGCCTTTTTCTGTGTGTGTGTGTGGCCTCATGCTTCATCATTCAAATTGGTTTGTCGTGAGCTTTATTCATACTATTATTTCTCAGAGGCGGGTTCTTTTTATGCGATTAGGTAGGACCTTGGTCGTTATGTGCCAAGCTACCCTGTTGGCGCGGGGCTCGCGGGGTAGAGATGGGCGAACATGTTCGCATTCGATCGAACTCGAACGAACATCGAGCTGTTCGTGATCGCTCGAACACGAACATGATGTGTTCGGATTCGAAATGTTCGGACACTACTCGAACAGAAGTTCGTAGGCGAACAAAATTGAAATATGTTTCAGAAATTCACCTCAAAAATGGGTATAATTGAGGGGGCAGTGGCAGTTTAATAAATAACTACAAGTTCACACGTTAATGAAACTGTTGGAAACCAGAATGGATAGCTTTTATAACGCGTAAGCAAGAAAAATTGGTAATAATTGTTCGTGTTCGGATCGAATTTGAACATTACATTGTTCGGTTCGGTTCGTTCGAAGAAAAAAATGCTTGTTCGTGTTCGTGTTCGTTCGAAGATTTTTGGACCAAATTTGTTCGAGTTCGTTCAAATTCGAACTGGCCTGTTCGCCCATCTCTATCGCGGGGCTGGAGGCGTCACCGCGTTCCGATCTAGACTCTCATCGTCCCTGACTTCCTATGAGCCGTGGAACACGTCCCGGTGCTAACCTGCTCCAACAAAGGATTTTCTTATTTAGTATATAGTATACTCTTATAACTACTGTATGATGAGCACTCTCAAATTCCTCATCAGGGTTTTAGTTTTTGGCTATAAAAAATCCACGAAATGGTACGGTAGCTACAATATTGTTACCAACAAAAACGTGTTGTTGATAGGGAAAGTAAATAGGCTATTAAGTATTTCTTTGCAATTTATTCGCAATATAGTTTGTACATTACCATTGCACCAAGGGTGGTTGACGGTGCGTTTGGCACCATCAGCTTGTCTTCCGACGTAAAACCGATGGGGGATCCCTGCTGGTCACTGGAAGAGTACTCGCGGCCGGACTCCACACTTTGCTCAATTAGGGAGACACGTGATGACTGACATAAGCATCACCCGGGCGTCAGAGCAATTGTCCCGGCATTGCCTTGAGGTAAATGTTCGCCAAAAAGTTAACGTGTTCAAACTTTTGCGCAGTCGTTTCTATGGTGGCCGTGAACTTAGCTCACGCCGGCTCACGCGCATTAAACTGAATTTCAGGGGCCGAACCGCGCAGATTCTTGCCGTCGTCGTATATACAATACATAAATTCTTTATCTGCCAGTGTGATTGTGCAGATATTGCCGTTTGTTTTTTGTTTTGTTTTTTCAAGTTAAATCATAGTTAACCTGCGGTTACAATTTAGTGCAAGCTCATACACTCTTGTAGTACGTTGACGGTACCAAGGCAGGTGAGACTTG